ATGACTTTTCGCTGGAGGGTTGCTGGTATTACTATTGTATTAAAATAGATTTTAAAAATGTTGACATTCCAGCATGTTTTGGCTATTACAGTATCTCTGAAGCAGGATTTGCGATGAGTGACTGGTTTTGCTTGTCTTGCCACATTTGTGCAGGCAATTTGCAAACTGTTCAGGGGTACTAAGGCCTAAATCATGCACATTTTAGTAGATTGCACTTTTTTTTTAAATACTGTTTTACTATTTATTCATCTGTTAATAAATGGGTAGCTGTGTGACGGCTTATCATCTCAAACAAAGTAGAATCATTGAGGTCAAATTAAAAATGTGTGTTGTGGGAAGAGACAGGAATCCAGGGGTGGGGAGGCATTTATAGTGACACATTTTAATTGATTTGCACTTTTTTAATATTTACTCTACAGTTAGGCCATGTAAAAAAAAAAACAAGTTGTTGATTGTCCTTTAAAAAAAAAAAAATAATAATGTCTGAAAGCAGGTGGTTTTTTTTTTCTGTAATAAAACCACCCCCTTGATGCATGCCAAGTCTTCAAATACCAATGGAGAGCAAGGCCTCATTGAACAGATTTTCCAGTGCAGTGTTTTATCCCGTCTTACGAACGCATCATAATCGTGTGCCACTGTTTTAAAAGTGAAGTTTCAAATAAAGATTATTAATTATTATTATTATCAGTGGAATTTATACACTATCCCCTACACTAATGAGAGACAATAATTACACACAAAAAAAAAAAATAAACATCCTATCTGATGTTTAATTATGGGTGGAAAGATGATATTTTCCTTTCGGAAAATCAGTTGGTACATCACATCACAAAACAAAGTGCAGGATAATTATAATTAGGCATTTAAACTTATTTGATATTTTGATTAAGAATTTTAGTGGATAGTGGTACAAATTTATTTTGATATCTATTTGTTAGCTGTTTGATTTTTGGCCAAAAAAAATAAAGATAGGTAGGGTGCTTTCTTTACAATCATATTTTTATTTGCTATTCCAAAATTGACTGGCAATACCAGGTGAACCTATGTTTTGGATTGTGTTTCATGCATGTTTGACACAAAGCGTTAGAGACTAGGAACTCGGATTATTTGTCACCTTGAATGAACCTTACAATGCGGACATATGTATTTTTCTTATTTTTGTCCATAATAACAAAATCAAATAACACAATAAACTGATTTCAAATTAAACAACTTTTATTTTTATGTACAGTAGGTAAATGTTAAAATATAGTTTAATGATACTCTTTGGGAAAACCAATGTAACTGCCATGATTAGACAGACCCGCCATTAAGAATCAGTAAAAAAAAAAGAAAATACAAAACTGACATTCAGCATAGATATACCTGCTGGGAGTCTGTTGTCCAATGATGTTGTTTGTGAATGTATGTGGCTTAAGCTTTGAATGGTTTGAATTACATTAACGCTAACCTTGACTTTCTCACTGCCACATATTTCATTCCCACTATTTCATCTTTTTCAATTGGTAGCTGAGGACAAGCTACCATATCCAGTGAAACCCATTGTTTTATCATTCATAAAATTTGTTTAAGTGAACTGGGTGGTTACAGCCATTGAGCTGGAATATACTTCTTCCAACACTCCTCCCCTGCGCACTTTTACTAGGTTTAGGATATGATCACATCTAGTATACCCGTAGGCTTGCCTTAGTTCATACTAGTATTAGATACTGGTTAATTCTCATTGTTTTAAAATCTATACAAACACATGCTTTTGATACAGAAAGATGATACCAAAATCCAGAATCAGAAGATGAAAACAGGCAATCATACAGCTTGTAATACACAATTGTTATACTTTACAGCATCTCAGTAATCAATACATCAGCCATACTGTGCACACACCTAAAGAGGCACTGATATAAACAACCATGGAGTATCAGCGTTATGAGTGAGTATTGTATTGTACCATTGAACAATTTAGATAAAACAAAATATCTTTCAAAATTATTCTAGTTTAATGGATTGGCATGTTATTTTACAATCATTTCATCTGGATCAATATGGTAGGATTTCTTTTTATGATTATCCAAAAACAAAGATGTTTTTGACTTGCAACATAGATAAAAAATAAGCATAAAGTTTGGTTTTAGTACTACTGTATTTATTATATCTATATTTTATTTTCATGTTAATGAAAACTGTTTTAAATAAAATATAAAAACTGTTTTTATTAACATATTTTCGTAAATTTTGTTAACAATGACGATAGTGATCGGGCCATGTCCAGGATTGCAATTTTAAGGAAGTACAGTCTCAATTGTCTTAAGAATACAGACCTTTCCTGATTTGGGGGATGTTTGAGCACCCATCACACCCCCTGGATATGGTGATGATACCTGATACCTGGTGATGATGTCAAATATTAAAATTCATCATTCACTATTGATAAAAGTAGTCTGTATTAATTATCATGTCAAAGGAAAATATACTGTAAGATTCAGTTTACAAACTTTGCTGTGTAATATTTCACAGAAATGTGTTATTTGAGGCTATTCGACACTGTCACTGGCAAGAAGTAAGACGTATCTGGGAAGAACATCCAAACCTTATTAACACTTACAGCTACAGTTATGTGAGTGTGTATTCAGCTGATTATATACAATTCTTGGTGTGATTTAGTGATGAATTATCATTTTATTGGTTCTTCACTTCATGACATCACATTGTGACCATATTTGGGCACATGATGACTATATTTGGGCATACAACAGTTTTTTTGTCAAAGAACATTTGATAGTGTGGACAGAGCTTTAGTTTTAGTAATTATTAGCTGTGTGAGGCTTGTGTAGGCCACGGCTTGTGTAATATCCTCAGCTAGGAGGATTCAGTGCTTATGATGGTCCATCTGTGCAACTGTTCTTTGTACAGTGATTGCACAGACAAACTTACATTCTTTCTCCACCCTACCCAGTTCCCTTCCAATATATTCTTTATCCTCACAACTGATTCCCAGCCAAACCAAACTTTTTTTGCTAAAGTGGAAAACACAATTACGGTACCAAAACAGCGCCATAGCAAATCTTGGCTTGTCATTGCCATGACAATGTGGCCATTACAAACAGTGTAGTGATTATATATGAACAAGAGTTAACAACATAACCACATCAATTTCACAACGAAGGTACAACTCTCTTACAATTCTGCTGCAGTAAATTATGTTTTTTTTTCCCATTACTACGGTGGAGCAAGATTTTTTTCTAACATTTCTAAAAAATGTTGTAAGTCTATGGTGGATCATGATTGACTACAAAACTCTAGCAATCATTGTGTGTGTGGGGAAGGGCATTAAAGTGTTAGTTGGACTTGCCAGCATTTATTTTTGAGATTACTCTACTTACATTTTCTGATCTCGTGGTGTAATATGATCCCCTCAACCCTAATTTACACTGAATGTTAGAAGGGGTGAATTAGGAATGTTTTCGTGTGTGTCTACAATATACAGGTTCCTTACAATTTTGTTAATAATGAATCACACCTACCAAGGATTTGAATGTTGATAATGCATATATGTTGTTATTTTTATGTTTGTTTTATAGGGATCACTATTAATATATGCTATTTCACGTGAACCTCTGCACCTGAAGACTTGATGCTACTGATAGTTGAAAAAGCAACAGTAAAGAATATAGAATATGAAACCTGGGTAAATGAAATTCAATAGCATTGTATGTTTAATATTAAAAAAACAAAACATGTATATTATATACTGGTCATAAACTAATTAACTCAAAGTTGTAGTTAATTATTTCATTCTGGACTAACAGTGAGATTTTTATTGTTTTAATTAAAACTGAGTAGCCAGCCTATGATCATCATTTCATATATAATATATAAATAAACTTTTTTTTTAATGTGAGATATAATCATGTTTATAGATTAATTTATACTATTTACTGGCTATATTGTTGACAAGAAAAAATTTTATACTGTATCACAATTAGTTTTGCTTGAAATCATTATTATTATTATTTATTATTATAAATTGAAATTGTGTCTTAGAAGTGAAGCTGTCTTTTTAATTATTATATTGTATGCATGGCTTTACTTGAAAATCATCATTAAAAACATTGAAATATGTAATCTTTATGTATAAAATTATTAAATATGTGCAGCTAATGACATGACATGTTATTGTGATTAGTTATGTGTATTGTTGGTATGTTTGTCATCCTTTGCCTTATTTTATGTTTGTCTTTTAGGATGGTGAAACTATTATCAGTTTTTTGGCACAGCATATGTATACATCAGCATTGAGATGTGCATTGGAAAAGTCTGCAAGCAAAATAAACAGAGAAAACCTAAGGGGAAGATTGGACGGTAAATAAAGTTACTATCATCAAATTCAATCTCAAACCTGAGTCAGCTAAACTGGTTGTAGCTACTGGTGTGTCCACAAAGAATTTTCTTTCGCAACTCCATATCAGACTTTTTCATTTTGAACTATTCCATTCCTCAGGGTTGAATTTTGGGACCTCAGTGGTTTTCGTAAAATTTTAACCTTTCTTATCATATTTATGCTGATGATAAACAGGTCTATATTTCTTTTAAACTTGGTGAAGAATTTGATATGAAGATTGAATCTCTCAGAAATTGTATTTCTGAGTTGAAAACTTGGATGTGCGAAAACTTCTAAAAGTAAATGAACACAAGACAGAATTCATCGTCTTGTTCCCCTCAACAAAGGAAAAAATGCCAAGACCTCCACATCAACATTGGGGAAT